CACACAATCTACATATCTACAGGATTCATATGCTGTGATCTTCATTTTTTTCAATTTTTACTAATTTTAAATTAATTCACAACATTTTTGTTGACAATGTTTAGCCACTGCTGAGTTAGTTTAATTATATTTTATTGCTCTAATGTCTTCAGAAATTCTTATACTTGGTTTTTTTTTGTTTCATCTACATATTTATATTTATTATTACAGTTACATTCAAAAGAATATACAACACGTTTTCTTTTTAGTACATCACCTTGTTTTGTTTCCTTTTTAAATCTTAATTATTTACATATATTATTTGTTTGTTCTGGTATTAATATTATGTTTACTTTTCTTACTATTTGTTTAATTACTTCAAATAATTTTTGTTCATAGAGTAATTTAATATATTTAACATCACTTTTATCTATTTCTATTTTTTGATCTTATAATTTAAGCCATTTTTCTAAAATTACTTTTGGGTAATTATTTAATAAGAACATATTAATAACTGATTTTATTTTGTTTTCTTGTTGTCTACTTTTTCTATTGTTAATTTTGTTAACATACATTTCAAAAACATTTCTTTTAATATACATTGGAACATATGAATAGTAATTAATCACTTTTGATACAGCAACAGGCTTTCTATATGTTTAAAATTCCAAATTATTATTATTTCTAATTATCTTAAGATATAAATATACTAAACTTCTATTTTTTTATTTTTTGTATTTTAAACTAAATATGATCATTTATTTCATTAATGTTTTCCAAAATCTGTTTTTCACATATCTGTTGTTTTATCAAACATTACAATACAATCATATGCATGCCTACTAAAAATACAATGCCTTTTACTTTACTTATCTGATCATCTGCTAATTTCATTACCAAATTTGCAATTGTAGGATCTATGCAGGTGCCCATTGGTATACTTATTTTTTGAATATAAAAATTACTATTATATTGAAAGTAATTATTTTTATTATAAAAACACACACATTATTTAACCACTGTTTACAATGTAAAGACTGTAACATTCCTTCTACATCTTCAATTTTTATACTGGATACATATTTAACTGTATTTGATCTAGTGGGAAAAAATAATTTTTTGAAAAATGAATAAGATACCTTTCTTGTAATTTTGTTGTAAAATAATTTTAAAATAATTTTTACAGAAAGTTTTTGTAACCTTCTACTGAAGAGGGGCGGTAATCTGAAATGCTGAATAACTAGCATACAGATTTGTATTACAATAAATGTCTGAAAAAAGATTGTCATTTTCTAGTTTTTTTTTGTACTCTCTTCTCCTTAATGTAACAAGTCCTTAAATGAAGTAAGGTTCTTGTAAATGCGTTTTTACAAGTAGTTTAAGCTTAACACTTCAAAAGCCTTAAATTGCATTCCAGTAAGGTTTAATTTGAAAAAATGGTTTTTTCAACTAACATTTTCAATCTTCAATTGGAGATCATCTTGAAATCAAACAATGACTTTTTTGAAAAATTAAACAAAAGCAATTCTCAAAATATATAAAATACAATTAAATGTAACAATAAATATAAAAGTTAATAGCAGTACCAAAAATATAAAAGTAAGAAAGTAAACATTTAAAAACTATATAACTATAATCAAGAACTATCAAAACACTTACTAAAACACCTTTTCTTGCAGCCAAAGTTTATAAGAAAAACTTTCTAACGTTTTCGGTCTTGTTAAAAGACCTTTCTCAAGAAAAATAAATCAAATAAAACAACAAATTGTAAATCGAACGCTTAGTACAGCTAACACGTTTTTCAAATATTTTCGAACTAGCTTATAATCCATTGCAATTTACATCATAAATTGCAATGGATTATAAGCTACTTCGAAAATATTCGAAAAACGTGTTAGCTGTATTGGGTTAATACTACTTTTAGTTAATTTTGTTATTTTTTTCAGAATATCAAACATTTTTGAATAATAATACTGTACTTAGTCTAGGAGTTTAACTAATCTTCATTACTCCATTAACTCTCATTAATATTAAATAAAAAATTGTACAGCTAACTTTTAATTGCTACAATAATTACAATTCAGTTTTCTTGTGATAATATAAAACTTAAGCTATTGTTGTTTGCTTCATATCTAGTAGAATCCATTATCATTTTGGTGATTGGCTATTCCATCCAATTCTAGTGAAAATTGGATAGAATAGATAATCACCAAAATGGTAAATATAAAACTTGTTTATACTATTAAAAATATTACATGAATTGCTACAATTATTAAGTGATTCTTATGGTTATTGTTGATTTTTCTTGTACATTATAATTTAAGCAAAATAATTTACATTTTAATATCGCCTTAATTTATAATTTTATGAAAAATACACTTACAGTAATAGAGCACATATATAGTGTTAATTTAATTACTCAAAGGTCTAATTCATTGTCATTCTTCCATCATGCTTAATAATTGCTCCCATGGCATCAAAACTGTTACATATGACAGAAGAGTGGCCATCCTGTACAAGGAAACTGCCAGAAATAATAACTTTTGATTAGCTTTCAGATGTCTCTCAGTTTTCACCTTCCTCTGCAATGCTAAAGACCATCCTGATATGTATATTATCCTTATTATGAATCACAGAGCCAACTGCAACTTAGAATATGTAGATGCTACAGGGAAACCTTTTGAATACCTGCATCAAAGAACATTTGACTTCTGTCATAAAAGGGCTAGCCAATACTGCTTAGCAATCTTCATCTCCATCCCCAACGTAGATGTAAAATTTGACTGAGCACCTACATAGAATCTCCACAAAGAATAGCTTAGTTATTTATAACAATTAGAAATTTACAAAGCCATAAGAAAAAAATGCAGTTATCAACTTTAGAGATATAGACTCCTTTCCCCTGCAAGGAAGTTGATCTACAAAGTTTAATCTCACAATACTCTCTCTCAATTATATCATTCCTCTTCTAATACATAAATGGAAATCACCTATTCTTAGTAAATTTTTCATTCAAACTGTGAAAGTCGGTTAGCCTGACAATGCCCATTAAACAGTTGAAAATGTTTACTTTCTTGTAATTTATTCTTGCTAGATATTTGTAGTGTTTATTAACATATAGTATGAACAATAAAGTCCTAAGTCACTCAAATAACTTTCAAACAAAGATAGCCAAAGTTAGGGAAATGAGATATATTAACATGGTAAAGTGACCATGTGCTACCAGAAAACAGCATCACCTATAGCAGGAAAATTTGGAATTAAGCACTCCTATGAAAGTTGTGAAGCATCACCAAATTAGTAAATGAGAAAGTTGCAGAGAATCACCAAATTAGTTGTAAATAACATTTCACAGAAGTAAATAGATGGTGTAAATAGAAGGCTGGGCTGCATATGCATACCTATGCCACTGGGTTGCTCTTCATACACAAAGAATAATACTGCCAATATCTCTTAGCCTTCAAACAGCTTGACAAATGATCCACACAGCTGGATGTGGAGCAGTAGGAAATTGTATACTTCTTTATAGCTTTCCTAGCATTTCATCTACATTTGCTATATAGCAGTATCATATTACAATATTCTTCAAGTATTGCAAAATGATATGATATGAAATGATTGTATAGTTTATCATGATCTTTTGTCAACACAATACTCTCCAAAGGACTACAGTATCTAATGATTGTCAATCATTTGTACATTACCACATCTGAGTTTTTATCAGCAGGAATGGTTAATATCACAGCCATCTTTTGCATATGAAATTTACTGCTCATATACTAATAATGGTATACCTGTAATGTATGGAATTTTTAGCCTTCTATTTGCATAATCCATTTCTGTGAAATGCCATTTTATACTAATTTGGTAATGCTCTGCAACTTTCTCATTTACTTTTTTTGTATCTTGCAGTTTGTGATGGAGTGCTAATTTTCAAATTTTACTGCTAGTGGCACTATCACTTTATTCACTATCACTTTACTATACTAATAATTCACTTCCAAAGCTTTAGAAATCCTGAAATTAGATCATTACATTCTGCTAAGATTGTAATGCATACCAATTTGGACAAAAGAAAAAAAAACTCTAAAGAATTTACTTAAATTTTTATAATTTTGAGAATGACTTAACCAAAATTATTGAAATATTTCACACAAATTTTCAGCTTTGTTTATACAAATCACAGTTGCGGATGTTGATTTGTTAAAGAAACATTTGTATACTCATGCCTATATTTAATAGTAATATAAAACATGCACTTATATTGTTAGCAAGAATACAACAAATAAATATTACAAAAGATTAAATTCTTAATACGATTACTATATATTAAAAAAAATATAATATGCATTATTATAATATTATATAAAATTTTTGCATAAAAATATAAATTAAGTAAATAAACTTATACATTATTTATTTAATCAAAAGCAATCAACAAGTACAAACGTTAACTTGTTAGTTGTTAGTTTTATGCTTCATAAACTGTTCCATTCTATAAAATTAACTAATTGTTTTTATTTTGTGGTTTACTAATAATTTATCAAATAATTTCAATTTAACTATAGTTGAAAGTACAGTATATTTTTAATTAGGAAGAAGTATACATCTACATTATTTAATTATATAACATTAACCTGAAAATTTTTATTATATTTAAATATACATAATCTTATATATATATCTGTATTACATATACACAATACTATACATTTATTGTCATTTAATTAATAAAAATATTTAAAAAATAACTTGATACTTTACCTTGAAACAGACAATATAACTTATAATATGATGATTATTATTATTAATAACCTAAATAAACAGAATTAAGATTTTAAACAGGTTTACATTATTCCCATTTATGATCAATGATCATAAATAGTTTATTACTCTAATAGTTATTTTAGTGTATGGACAGATTTAAAAATACAAGTGGAACTTATTTATGCAAAGCCTATAAATATTTCAATAGTTGGGAAGTAAACAAATTATAGAAAAATTTGACTGAATAAACAAACCTATTCCTTGATGGAAGAAGGAACTGTTCGAATATAAACAAATGAAATCGTAATTTAATGTCATTTGATCATTTGAAAATCACTTTCACCATCTCAAACTCAGACTTTCATCAAGTATATGAGATATGTTTCGTTCTACTATGCGCCATCTTACGTCGACGAATTACGAGCGTAACTAATTTTTTGGATTGTAAAATTTATTTTATTTTTTAAATAAATAATTATATATATAATTTTAAATTAATGTTATAATCCATAAAATTTACAATAAAATAAATTTCGAAGATTTCTGAAAAAAATATATATTTTTTTAATTTTCATTCTTTCCACTCTGTGCGACTATACAGACGAAAATTTAGTAGCGAGCGATATAGTTCTCGCAAAGGAAAAAGTGAGCAAGCGAGAAGCAAGAAATATCTCTGGCAAGAGCGAATTTCTGGTTCTCGCACGTCTCGCCTCTTCTCGCCACATATTCTCGCTCGCTTGCGTCTACGTAGTCACAACCTAAGATGGCCTTTTCTCATAGCCATTATGGTTCAGCCAGGACGATATTTATGTGAACCGAGTGTGACAGATGGGAGTCAACTGAATCAACTCGAATCCGAGTCTCTCGCAGATTAAGCCAGTGTTTCCCAATCTTTTTTTGTGCTATGCCCCACCTAAGCCTTTCTAAAATTCTTATGCCCCCTAACATATACAGTGGCTATACCAGGCATGGCCAACATACAGCCCGTCTAATGAATGTATGTGACCCGCGATTAATCTTTCAATATTAGCTACTGAAGTCCGAGTGGTTCGATGAAAATTTCTGACGCCAAAAAGAAAAAACAACTCACTGTGCGTTTAGAGTTAATCCTCCATTACAAATATCTTAAGTACAGTGAAAAATGTATCTGTAATCTCTATGTACTGTACAATTTAGTCTCTACGGGGTGACACCACAATAAGATCTCGCACCACCTCAAAATCTTCCAAGGGCAGCCTCTGGTTCTGCCCATGAAAAGTTTTTTTTTCAATTCAGCCCGGGGGCAAAAACTGTTGGCCACCCCTGGGCTATACGGTTAACTTAAACTCTGGGCGAGTCCATTTTCAAATTGCCTCCCTGTGGGACATGGGACAAACGTTGGGAAACACTGGGTTAAGCTGACTTTATCGCTTATCATTCTCGTCCTTCGCGCATCAAAAAGACTTTTTCTTCGATCAAGTCCAGAATAGAATAACAGGAGTTTACACTCCTGCTATTCTATTGTGGACTTGATCGAATTCTGTCCAATATATTTGGTAGTTCAAATATATTGGACAGCATTCTAGATTATAGTAGACTATTCGTGAAAAGTTTCAAGGAGCCGAACCGGATTCGGACACAGATTTAATGACGCAAATAAACGTTCTCACCTTTAAAACCCTATTGCAAAAAACTATCGAAAAAGATATGGTGATCTTAATTAATTTCAATGTATGTCACACATTCTTCAATGACCCCCTATGTCTACAAAATAGCTGCTTTTTGAGCCCTCACCAAAAACCCTTTACCCGTTGTACAGATTTCACTGAAATGGCAAATGACTACAACGGTTTGAATATATTACTATAAAACAGGTTACTGTAGAATCCTTATCCAGAATTTGGCTCAAACATACTCCAGTGGTAGTGTTCAAGGCTCATATGCTAACAATGGAATACCAGATAAAACTATAAGAACCAAAACAATATACACTGTATCTTTCTTGATTATAACCATAGCATGCTATTCATGTACAAAGAAATAATCCATCTAAATGAAGCTAAATTAATATTCAAGTTGATTCAATCATCTATAATATCCTCAGAAACTGAAAAGACAATGTTAACAGGCTTAGGATACCAAGGGTATACACAAGTCTTTTGAAACAACTGATTCTGTAATTATCTGAAATACATTGCTTCCACAACACAATCTACCAAATAATTGGTTGAACACAAACATGATATTGACACTAGAAAACACAAAACTGCCCTGACAATGTATGCCTCTGATAATGATATGCATTCCTACTTCTACAAAGCCACCATCATCAAACAATTTAAACAATACCACCATATCAAGACACTTGAAACCCTCAAGATATTTAAATTTGAAAAAGGGGTTATTACATTAATTTCAAGGATGAAAAACAGTTATTGTATGACAAGTATTATCTGCATGACAAACAGGGACAGAATACCTGAACTACAAAGTTTTAAATTAAGAAAGTCTTTTCTATCTTATTTCAGTTTTGGGTTATTAAATTGTTGTTTATACTCTTATTTATTTATGTTATTTTGATTTATTATACTTGTATTTTGTAATAATTATTATTTTATGCATTAGAACATTTTCAAAAATTTTTAAAATACATCATTGTTTTATTTCCTCACATTCTGTTTTGAAATACAGTATCTTGATTTGATAAAGTTCTAATACATAACTCAAAAATGTTCATTTCAGTTTACTGGCATTAAATGCATATTGGAAGTAATTAAGGTTCCCCAATGGATGTGCTTGTTTCTGTTTTAGTATATTCCAGTCTCCTACAAACTTTGAACATTAGTAAGGATATTTTATAGTTGTAAAACTTTATTACATGTATTCTGGCCAAAAATAAATATACACACTATGTTCTTACTTCATCTTTATGCCTTAATTAAACAGCAGTGTTTATTGAATAGTCATCAGTTTATGTACTGTACTGTACATCAGAATGTACTATACATTACTGTACTTCATTATTTGATTTGACTATTTCCATTCCAGGATTTTACAACTATTTTTAACTTTCCAATATTATAATATCCACAATAATATATCCAATGAAGAGCATTGATGCAAAAAACATATCAAGGCGTTTAATCTATATATATAATCGAGACGGGTTGATAATAATAATAATCAACGCAGAGCCCAAACGGTGAGGAGTTGAAAATTGAAATTTGGTATAAAGTTAGGTTACGTCACGAAAACGCACACTAAGAAGAGATTTTTCGAAATTCCCAGGATTAAGGCTTGAACAATGGAAGTGTTAAGTAACAATGGAAGTGTTAAGAGAAACGACGTGCAAGATTTACAGGCGCTTGCGTTTTTGTAGGAAATCGAACATATTTTTAGACCCTTCTAAAAATTCTCTAAGTAGTCTGGAAACATGGAGACCTAATTCTTGCATTTTGTGAAAACGGGTAACGTTGGCTATAATGTAATAATCTTAATCTTCGCTATCGTAACTTTTGCCTGAGCAAATCCGGGCTTATCTGCTAGTTCATAAATAAAAATGATCTGTTATACATTTCCAGGATATTACCTCTGACCATCAGATTCCACTGTTATACAGATTAGAATAGTGAATTTTTAGAAACATTTTTATTTTATATATTTGTTTCTTTAATTAAAAAAACCCATAACACATCTTTAAGTGACTAACTGTGCTTATATCTAAATTAACTAACAGTTCTGGAAATAAAAATCAGATAGAAGTCCGAGTAGTTTAACCGACAATGCTTCTGCAAAGTAATCGATTGTGGGTTTGAATCCCATTCTAGACAATTTTTTTCTTTCAGAATATTCTAAATTTAAAATTAACTTAATTTTAATTATTAAATTTATTGGAAGAGCAGCTAAACCACCTATCTGTAGCCAAACTGATTTGTTATCTAATTAGTTATTAGACTCAACATAGCCCAATAGATGATCTGACAAATCATTTAGTGATAGAAATGTGCTGGGTTGTTGTTTATTATGTAAATTACACAATCAATCCGCAAGAAGAAAGTGCAGCTACCCATTCTTTCATAGTTAAGAAAATATTGTGGCAATATAAATTAAAACTTTCAGTTGTATGAAATATGTTGTAAATTCCCGATCTTACAATGGTGGAAGCAATTGTTTCCAATCAAACCCCCAACCACTTATAATGTAATCTGAGTAAATTTTTTTTTTTTTTAGCGAAGTTTCACATTTAACAAATATTCTGCCAAATCCGAGAGAAAAGAATTTGTTAAAAATAAAGTTTCCTTTAAAAAATGCAATTAAAATACTCGAAATATTACATCTATGACGTAAAACTCGTGACGTAACGCGTGACGCATTGCAACGACAAATTCGAATTCGTTCCATTTCGTATTGTTGCCGACGCCATCTTGGAAATTTATGCTTTCCGGAAATTGCGAGTTCTTTTTCCCTCCATTTTAACATTTTTCGTACAAATTTTAATAATGAAAACTCGCGTAACGTAGGTAACTTAATATTTTTCGATTTATATCAAAATTAAATAATTTAAATTAGATACGCTTTAAACCTAGATTTGCGGCCTGTAACCTGTAAGGTTACGGAATGCGTTTTTATAATTTTATTTATTACTACAAATATCTTAGCGATATTTTACAAATAAAGAGGACTATTTTGGCATTTTAAAGAAAACATTTGCAATTAGTTAATATTCTGACGTAGAAGGTATGACGTAACGTGTGACGCATTTATCGCACGTTCCACCGATTCGAATTCGTTCGATTTCGTATTGCCGACGCCATCTTGAAATAGAAAGTTTTCTGGAAATTGCGAGTTATTTTTCCCTCCATTTCGAGATTTTTCGTAAATGTTTAATTACATAAACCCGAATAACGCAGGCAATGTAACGTTTTTTATTTATAAGCGATCAAAATTGAATAATTGTCGATAGAATATTAAATGTAAAAGTCTTAAATTTTTACTTAAAATATTTAAGGTTGTTTCCACTTAGCATCGAATTAAATTATCAGATTATAAATGATATTCGCTTGCATATTGTCTTATATTCTTTTGAATGAAGCGATAAATGTCCTGTACTAAAAAATTATTTTAATATTAAATTAATTAATTAGCTAATCTAATGAATCATCTCAATCTTTTCTATTCTTAATATTTAAATTCTTAAATTATTCTAGGAAGAAGTATCATTCTCAAATTTTATAATCCACTTTCCAAAGAGACATGGATTCATTTTAAAAACTTCTTGTGCTCAAAAAATTAACAAGAAGCAAAACAAAGGAAAGGTAAGACTTTTTTCTTTTCATTCGAATTTGTTATGTATTCTAGACATTAATGCAGTAAAAAATGGTATATAAAAGTTATAATCTTTATTGTCCAGTCTGTGAGTTTATTATTGTAGAATGATGCTCGAAAAGTAATGTTATTCATTCACGCGTTGAAAATAATACAAATTCCAATTTTAATTAGAAAAAATAATTTATTAATAAAAACCAGAATTTTACAATTTATGTATTATTTTTCAATGTTTAACATACCATAAAAACAGTTCATTCGAAAATTAAATTCATAAGATTCCCTCCACTGAAACCTTCTCCCCATAGCATATACAAATGAAATGAAAATAATAACGTTTTCTTATTATAATGATTTTATTAACCTTTCCACTCCTTCTATAATATTACTTTTATATTTCTTATTTATTTGTTGAAAATTCTATTATTATTATACAGTATAATATATTACATATAATGATTTTATGTAATGTATTATTTATAAATTTTTGTTTGATTGTATAGTAAGTATATTTCAATTTTATTTTGTATCGTTGTGATGAAAAACAATTTCTTCCCCATTTTAAGAACTAATTGATTTTATATACACAAATAAAACTTTTATTAATGTTTTTTTTCCTATAACAAATCTAAACACAGTTTTAAGAATAACAAAAAAAACACATTAACATACAAATTTAATTATAATCAGAGCAAGACATTAACATAAACTCAAAAAATTGCTAAATTAGTTCTCCACTTAAATTTAATATAAAACTTCATCAATGATAACATAGGATATATACATATTATATTATTTTGAATAATATAATTTTAAATATATTATTTAAATTAAATTAAATAATAATGTTTTATATTTTATAACGATAATAAATACATATTTTTGGTGAACAGCATCATAGACATGTGCTATATCATATCAAAAACAGCATTTTGGACAAGAAGGCCACAAATACAAAAAGCTTTAATAAAATAATAATGTTTTATATTTTATAACGATAATAAATACATATTTTTAGTGAACAACATCATAGACATGCGTTATATCATATCAAAAACAGCATTTTGGACAAAACGGCCACAAATACAAAAAAGCTTTAATGAAACAAAACTTATACATATAATCACAAAATTAAAACAATTTATTACTATAAGTAATAAAATACAACACGCCAATTAAAACAATATAATTCCCATAACTAATGCGGCGATAACCAAAACAAAAATATCAAAACATGGACAAGACTATTTACACACGGATTATAACAACAAATGGAGTGCTGTGACGCTTTTATGCGTTCCGGCGGGACAGTGGTGGGTCAAAACACGGACAAGACAACCTATACACCGATTATGACAACAAGTGGAGTGCCGGAGCGCTTTTATGCGGTCCGGCGGGACAGTGGTGGGTCAAAACACGGACAAGACAACCTATACACCGATTATGACAACAAGTGGAGTGCCGGAGCGCTTTTATGCGGTCCGGCGGGACAGTGGTGGGTCAAAACACGGACAAGACAACCTATACACCGATTATGACAACAAGTGGAGTGCCGGAGCGCTTTTATGCGGTCCGGCGGGACAGTGGTGGGTCAAAACACGGACAAGACAACCTATACACCGATTATGACAACAAGTGGAGTGCCGGAGCGCTTTTATGCGGTCCGGCGGGACAGTGGTGGGTCAAAACACGGACAAGACAACCTATACACCGATTATGACAACAAGTGGAGTGCCGGAGCGCTTTTATGCGGTCCGGCGGGACAGTGGTGGGTCAAAACACGGACAAGACAACCTATACACCGATTATGACAACAAGTGGAGTGCCGGAGCGCTTTTATGTCGTTCGGCGGGACAGTGGTGGGTCAAAACACGGACAAGACAATCTACACACCGAATGTGACAACAAATGGAGTGCTGGAGCGCTTTTATGTCGTTCGGCGGGACTTGTATCTAATAGCCTATTTGTTTATTTTGACACTTTTATTATAAACTGTTTAGAAAATAGTACTGTGATTGTCGAACTCTTCAAATGTTTCCAGAAGTCAGCTGAGGCTTACTCAAGGGGTTATTAGAGTTTGAAATGATTCGTTGTTTTCGCAGGGGGGAAAGCTTAGCCTTAAAAAAAGTTATGGTTTTAATTAACAGATGTAAGCTTTTAATGCCAGAAATTTGTAATAAGAAGATAAAAAATTAGGAATAAACGTATTTAATAAACGAAACACTGATACAGAAAAACTGTTTTACATTTACATCAAAACTAGCTCAAAAACCGAGAAATGAAATTATTATTTTCTACTTGTTNGATTATGACAACAAGTGGAGTGCCGGAGCGCTTTTATGCGGTTCGGCGGGACTTGTATCTAATAGCCTATTAGTTTATTTTCACACTTCCATTATAAACTGTATAGAAAATAGTACTGTGACTGTCGAACTTGTCAAATATTTTCTGAAGTCAGCGGAAGCTTACTCAAGGGGTTATTACAGTTTCAAATGATTCGTTGTTTTGGCAGGGGGAAAGCTTAGCCTTAAAAAAAGTTATGGTTTTAATTAACAGATGTCAGCTTTTAATGTTAGAAATTTGTAATAAGAAGATAAAAAATTAGGAATAAACGTATTTAATAAGCGAAACACTGATACAGAAAAACTGTTTCACATTTACATCAAAACTAGCTCAAAAACCGAGAAATGAGATTATTATTTTGTACTTGTTTTCTAATCTTTTTTTTTTTTCTTTATGTTCACAGAAGTTATCGAAGCAACAGATGATGCCATACATAACTTTTATTTTACGATCATCTCCACGCAGATATATCTTAGCTGTCAGGATTATGTGATCTGTAAATGACGTTTCCCTATAGCTTTGTCACGTGAATCANTTTTTTTTTTTTTTTTATGTTCACAGAAGTTATCGAAGCAACAGATGATGCCATACATAACTTTTATTTTACGATCATCTCCACGCAGATATATCTTAGCTGTCAGGATTATGTGATCTGTAAATGACGTTTCCCTATAGCTTTGTCACGTGAATCAATTTAAAAATACCACTATTACGTAATAAAACATCATTTCCTGTTACCTGTATCCAATTTCAGACTTGCTTTACAACTATACGATAAATACGATAGCTGTAATCAAGAATACGCCCATTATAATGACAAATATAGGTTTGCTTTAAAAATCAAGTCAGAGAGCGATAAACGATTGTCATTGAAACACAAAACTTTTTACAATAGACTGCTTATCAGAATTTGCAAGTTCTCTTGTTATCTTATTTAATTAAAAGTAAAATGGTTTGTATTTTCAAACAATTATGGAGGGTGAATTTTCAAGTTAAACTTTATAATCCTATAAGAATAACGAAATTACTAAATTGTAANAAGAGACATGGATTCATTTTAAAAACTTCTTGTGCTCAAAAAATTAACAAGAAGCAAAACAAAGGAAAGGTAAGACTTCTTCTCATTCTAATTTATGTATTCTAGACATTAATGCAGTAAAAAATGATATATAAAAGTTATAATCTTTATTGTCCAGTCTGTGAGTTTATTATTGTAGAATGATGCTCGAAAAGTAATGTTATTTATTCACGCGTTGAAAATAATACAAATTCCAATTATAATTAGAAAAAATAGTTTATTAATAAAAACCAGAATTTTACAATTTTGTATACCAGTGATGGGCAAACTACGGCCTGAAATGTTCTAACCGGCCCGCGCGACATTATTCCTAATCTGACGAGTAAAAAAGAATACAGGCTGTGGTGGTTGACGCACCACTTAACTTGAGTGTTCGTTGATTATACAAAATAACCGAAGCTTTATATCTCACCATGAAAGTTTATTTATAATCATGTACAAAATTTTGTTTTACACTTATTGAGTAAAAGCTCGATCAGTTACAAGCATGCTTCGGTACAGAACATCCACTCGTCGTGCGTAGCGTAGCCGAAAGAGAGAAAAAGAAATATGGCGGACGGCCTGCACATGTTTTTATAGCGCCACCTGGATTTTCAGATGCAGCGCTAGGTTACAATTATATTGGCCCGCCTAAAGTTTTCTTCTTTTCCTTTGGCCCGCTCTTTAAAAAGTTTGCCCATCACTG